GCGACGGTGCTTTAAACGGGGTAACGCCTACTCACGTCAGATATCCAATCAGCTAAAGGGACCAACATTAGTGAGACACGGCACGTCTACACGGCAAACCCCAGTCTACAGACGGATGATGAAAGCTTTACCTGTCTCAATTTTGTGAAAACCTGAGGTTTTTAGTAACAATGTTTATAGCAGATGTTCCTGGTTCAAATCTGATTACGTGATGGTGTTGATTGTGCAGACTTCAACCATCTAACGTAAGCTGTGATGTCTTCCGTCAAGATACAGGTACGAGTTTACGTAAATAGCTGATGAAAAAAATGTGTTCGTTTTTTAAACAGAATTTAGCAATTGCAATGTGTTCTTCAGTAGTCGTTAAAAGTACACGAAGAAAAAAGATCTTGGATGTAGACTTGGTGCGAAACGTATCTTATTAGACAGGCTCAATTTGGACCGGCCAAATCAAGTTATATTCCTTCCCGAAGTTTTTTATGTATTCATAAAACTTCAGTCAAACATCGGAAAATATTATTTGTGCAGAATTTCGTTAGTCGTTTTTAGTTCAGAAGACATGAGAATTAAGAACACCTTCTCCTCGACTTGACATTGGCAATGATTAAGACATTTTAACTGAGATTTCCGCCCTCAGTAATGCAACATCTATCACAATTGTCTTCTTCTTTTTTTTCTTCAGATTTTTAAAAGACGGTTTTTCAACGCAAAACATTTTGAGATATTTTCTCTTAGACATGAAAATCAAGCTATAGTCGCTATCAAGGGCGTAAATGGGGTACCCCATCTCCGAAGCCTTTGGCTCCCCCGTGCTCCCTCAAAAAAATGAGGCAAGCTGAATGTCCCCTTGGTCGTTCTCCTCAAGGGCAAGTACTATAAAAAGCTGCTTTTTGGCAAAGTCGTTTGGAAACATATTTTCGTCTCGTTTTCAGATTTACTCGTGATGGCAAACACAACATTGGCACCGCTTGATGCATGTTGCTCTGTCACACCCAGCCAGCGTATGCACTTTCTGGTGATCGACGGATTCCTGTTTCTAGCCATCACCTTTGGTAACACGCTGGTCATCGTTTCCATAGCTACCTACCCACGTCTGCGGACTCCAACCAACATGTTTCTAGCGAGTCTCGCAGTGGCAGATCTCTTTGTTGCGTTCATCTGTCTGCCGCTGGACGCGCTCCTTGCACTGGGGCTGATCCCCACCGTGTCCCCCTGGGTGTGTATGGCTGGCAGTATCATGAACACTGTTTCCTTTTCTGTGTCGCTGACTCAAATTAGCGTAGTTACTTATGATCGTTTTCTGGCCATTACCAAACCTCTGAAGTACAACCAGAAGATGACATCCCGTAAAGTAGCCTTGTTCATTTTGGCGCCATGGACATCTTGTATATTTTTAAGTATATTGCCGTGTTTGGGTTGGAACCGCGTTAATTCGTACAGTTTAGACTACTGTGATCTGCTCTTCATTCACGTATTCAGTTACCGATTGGTTGTGATGGTTGGTATTTCTGTTATTCCTATCACCCTCATGGTATACATGTACCTAAGGATTTACCTCGTGGCGAGACAGCATAACAGGCGCATTGCTGCCGAAAACAGGGTTTTCAATCAACGGGGTGAGCGATCCCTTACTCGCGATCTCAAAGCTGCTAAAACTCTGGCTATTGTATTCGGAACGTTTCTCGTGGCAGTTACGCCTGCCTCCATTGTCACCTTAGCCGATGCTGTATTTCCAGTGAGCGATCTCTTCATTTATGAGCTCATATCTTTCCACGTTCTCTTCGCCAATTCCGCTATGAACCCCATAACGTACGCTTTCCGCAGCCGGGAGTTTCGCTTTGCTTTTATCATGCTGCTCAGCAAGTTCCTCCGTTGCAAGCGATGGAAGGAACTGGCAAGACGAGCCAAACAAAGCTTACCAGACTGGAAGGGTTAACCAAGAAATTAGTTTACCAACTCAGCTACTTGCTTTAAGGACGTTATGAAGATAAAAATGTGACCGGGATCGGTGGATTGATTACTTACCAAATGATATTCTTACTTTACTCCACGACAGAGGTGGTTTTTTTTAACCCCATCATGCTTTGGTTTTGTCTTCGTTCTTTCGTGTTCGTGTTCGTGTTCATGGTTTTTTTCTGGACAATAAGTGTCCGCGGCTTTTCTTTCAAACGAGGGGTGGGGGTGTTCAGGGGTAACCCATTCCCTGAAATTCTGAAGACGTCACACACACATAACGTTTACCTTCAATGTAACAGTGATTAACAAATGATTTCGAGATAGTTGTCGACGATCTTATAGACCATTAAATGAACAAACCCCTAAAAACCAAACCTAAATGAAGGTATTGTTTTTTGGGTAGTAGTCTTGCACAAATACCAGAAATGAAAATGTGATCAAAAATACATGTCTGGTCCTGGGTAGAATAAATAACAAATATGCAGAAACGGTTGTCTGCAGTACGTACATTACTTTTTAAAGAAAAGGACACGTTTTTATTGAGAAAGAGAGCTATTAAACTGAATTGTATTAGTGGAGCGTAAATACAGGGTCACGTGGTGCAATAGAAGGAAACGCACATCTACCTACTTACTGAACTTATTTGAACTTTTTTATACAATGAAATGAATTAAAGCTCAACCATACGTGGTGAAAAAAATCTTTTAAAAATCGCATGAATACTGTTACTATGCTAATTTGAATACAAGTCACCAAAATCACTGTTGTCCTCGTGTAAGTCTATTATTGTGGGGTTTTGTTTGTGTCTTCAAATCAATCTCCGGGGCTCAGTCAAGAATATGAAATGAAGCCGTCCGTGGACAAACAGGTTCGGCACATGACATTTTAAACTACCATATATCTCAGAGACAAAATATGCATTTGCAATCATTTTGTCGTCACTTATGTTTAACGGTCAATATACTAATATCATTAAATTGAGTTTTGAAATATGCTCAAAAAGTAGGAGAAAATTGCTGTCAAATGTGGGTTTCCGTCTTTTCGCACCACCCTGTAGTTTAGTGTTATTTACAAGTAAACAAAGTATTGCAAAGGGCAACGATGAATCGGAAATGCAGGCTTGTTTTTAAGCATATCTTACCGACGATCAATAAGTATGCCGCCGTCATTTGACAAATACTCACTGGGTAAGCCTAGGTAACTATTTAGTATTTCACTAAAATGAAATATTGATAACTGTTATACAAATTAGCTATTACTTGAAGCCTGGTTTCCATTCGTTTTCAAACGGACGTGACAGAACGCAAATATATCACTTTCAGAACAGAGAAAAATACCCATAATTCTCCCACCTCGACCCAAAAACCTGGATGCGACGTAACAAATGTTCTCGCTTCCAATTTAGACTTAATAATACTACTTTAAAAAAAAGAGCTTTGTGGAAAAAAAGTAGTTTACATGTGTACTGCTATTGTATTCAGAGCATTGTCTCTCCCTTTTCCACTAATTTTCAGGTCCATATTGTCAAAACAAAGACATAATTTGTGAGTCCATCCACACGACACGCGCCTGATGCTGTTTTACATTTACGCGTGCTTATCTCTCCGCTGACTGTTTGCTAAAAGACATGACAAATAGTGCTTTTGATTAATATTAAGATATTATCTCAACACGAAGACTGAGTGCGTTAACTTGCTTTCGGACTTTCGATCGACTTTTGGTCGTTGTATCGACGAGCGTGCGTTAATGCTGTACTTCGTTGTTAGTGAACTTCAATCAACAGAAATCGAGAATTGAAAAGAGATTCGGTGTATCATTGATGATGGTGATGAAGGAATGGGATGTAATAGTTACCCCATACGGATACATTAAGCTGATGAGTCATCACCTGAGAGAAATTAAAATGCATCTGGCACTCGACCTGTCAATGCAAAGACAGTCTTGTTCTGAACTAAGTGTTGAAATATTAGTTTCACTTTGAACATGACACTGCATAAACTATGAACGCTAAATGTTGACAACGATACTGAAAATACTGAAGTGCTGAAAATAACAAAGTTATGTGTATTATTTGTATATTTTGTCAAGGTATAGGTCATCAATTCTGGCTGGTGTGCAATGTAAGATAAGAGAAGAAGTTGAATTATTCCTGTATGTTAAATGCCAGTTGCAGCTTTTGAAAGAAGGTTTTAAAAAGTATTTTTCTGTAAATGTGTTCAGTGTTTAAGACAGATATTCTGGTTTATAATTGTGGAATTTCTTTTCAAAATATGTTCAATATATAGGTCGTGTGACGTCCAGGTATTTTAGAATTGGTAGATTTTCGTAATCCTAATCCCAGTTTACTTTAAAGGACTCATGACTTGAATTTTTCTTGCATGGGAATATTACTGTACCACTTTCCTCTCTTAAATGTACGAAAACTATTTGACATCCCTTTTTGGTTAATTTTATTGAAAAGTGCACTTCTTTAAACATTTTTTTTAAAAACTCCATGATTCTCCTGACAAATGAGGGCGCTGTTGCTGTGATGTCATGTCAGGATGACTATGCTCAGTTAAGGGGTTTTCAGTTCAAATTGTGAGCCCAAACTTTGCTCATTAAAAACGTTTCTGAGAAAACTTTGCATATTGGCTTAATGCCATGTAAGCCTTCTGAAAACAACCGCCACAAAAAAAAGAAATATACGACAGCAAATTCTGGCAAATTGTTGTGCTGCAATAGCTGTTACAGTGAGCATTAGCATAAACACCAAAAAGGCACCAAAAAATGGCCTTTAAATGGCAAATGTTAATTGAAAATAATGTTAAATGGGGCGCAAAGGTGCATTTTCAAGGATTGCATCAAATAACGTACATTACAGGTACCCTTTATGGTCTCGTGTTTGCACCTGTTGGAGCGTTAATTGCAGACGTCAATTATGTTTCGACAAAAGTTGTCGGATTTTGAAACAACCACTGTTTTCTGCACGGACTATAGGGTTAAGATTTTCCGATAACATAACACTAGGAATAGCTTTAATAAATATGAAATAACCGACTCACCCGACGTAGCCATAATGTCCTATTCTTGTGATTTTCTTTCACGTCAAAAGTTTGTCCTCGTCATTCCATTGATCCTTCTTCCAAAGAAGTTACTGTCAAAGGAATTTCTAAGCTCCTTTCTCCTTTATTTGGGCCCCGCCAATTTGCTCGAAATACACAACAAAGCAAATACATATAGCCTATGTAATTTGCCGAATCCGGTTTAGCATTAATGCCCAGTTGCACCTTGGACCGGGATACAGGGAAGTACCGGAATTAAGAGATCAGGCGATGTAGAAGATACAAGCAAGCATTTTTACAGATAAGTCAAAACGTTTTCCTTCCAATATGAGGAAGTGACATGCATTCAGTTGTTTTAATCGAAATGTTATAATCAGCATACCAAAAATCAAGCGTGAAAAGGACCAAATGTGTACTCTGACTGCACTATGTGGAATTCAGTACAAAGTGTACGCCTACTGCACAGTGCGACGGATCCACAATGGGTAACCACCAAGGGGCTTAGGTTATCTGGCAAAACAAACACTTGTTTTGCCGTTAGATTTGTCAATCATAATCGACAGACGCTTGTTTACTTAAACACAAAGGTTCATGCAGCAGCATGTGAACTAACAAAAGGAATATAGTGTGACAGGAAATATTAATAATACATAGGCATATCTCACGCGTAAACAATTTTAAGACGAGATACGTTTACAGAGAACTAAGTAATTAGAATTCAATCAAATTAGAATTTCAGTTTTTAGAACTAAGAAACGTTTTTTTAAATGACTTTTGGAAATTGGAGGCTATTGGAAACAACGAACGTTCACACCTTGCCGCAATTACCATCGTCCATAAAGAAACTTACTAATTCTACAATTGTACAAAGACCTAACAATTTCAATTCTCTCTTCCATTTAAAAGTCTAACAATAATTTAAATCACCCGTGATTCTGGGGAATGATCGTTAACGAACAATGAACGTAAAGGGATTATTCAAGCTGTAAGACACTAATATGCTGATATAAACAACAAAGTTACCTGTGACATTTTATAGCTTTCCTTCATTTCGTATTGTTTGCAATTATTACAGATTTGTTTTTTTTAATATCGTTAAACTATCATCACCTTCACCCCAAATAATGTAAATTACTTTCATTTCTGTCGTAAGTCTTAGCCTGTGCTTTATACCAGCCAGCTGTTTATTTTTGTAAAATTTATTCAAGGTTGACAAACCTTCTGATGAAAATTCCAGTTACAACTACGGACAGACAGGCCATTCCAAACAATGTCCAGTTGACGATCTATTATAGATGAAATCAAGAAAAGAATCAAGCACATTAAGTAACTTACTGAATATTGTACCTTATACGTATTTTAGAGCATTGCATAACATGAGCACTGGCAATCCTTTGTTGCGCCCTCATACGTCCCCATGCGGATCCCATGAACCCTTGAGAATGGCTGGATTGAAAGAGACGCTGTGTTCTATCAGCTTTGGCCATTTGAAATGTTGCACTCACTCCATAGCTTGGAAACCAATATAGCAACGACGCCTATTAATGAGTTCTGGGTTGCGTTCCACTTACGTAAATTCTGCTAACATGGGGTATAATCGTCCTCAAGCAGAAGCTGAATTGCGAAGGACGCAGCCGCAACGTGGTCGAGTCGAAGGCATGTAAAGGCGCCTTAGGCAGCATTCATATGATAAGACATGGGTCGTATGGTGGAGCACAGCCAGATCGAAAGAGGAGTTCTTGAGGAGTTCGTGGTTGCGTTCCACAACGTATAGGCAATGTTCACGCAAACAAGACCAACTTTGTAACTAACGTTGGGCCGTTGGCGAACATTTGCCATAAAACGGCAAACGATCTTTCTGAGTCGCTCTCATCTGGTTTTTTTTTTCAAGATGGCTGTCTTTCACAAGCAGAGTTTTTAGAGCTGATATTTGTTGCTTTCTTCTTTAAAAGTCCCCAATACCAAACCTTCACAAGAGGATATCAAATTATTGTATTGCTGGCGAAATTTCAGTTCCATTCCCAGTTACTATTTTGAGGATTTGAGAAGCTGCTATCCATACAATGACACTTGTAGCACTGATCGCCGCCATTCAGAAAACAGATTTCGCAAAAATTTTCTTTCTATATACTTTGAGTTTGCGATTCGCAAGGGCCTATAAGTTTGCGCTAACGTTTGCTTGAGTGGAATGCACCCCTTCAGGGGCGGATCCAGGAATTTTCGCAGGGTGGGTTCAGACCCGTCAGATTTGTTTTATGTATGATTGTTGCGGACAGGCGGACATATAGCTGATTATTATTACTGTAAATGTTACAATTTGTTTGTGTCAGAGCAAGGGGGGTTCAGCCCCCAAACACCCCCCCCCCCTTCTGGATCCGCGCTTGCCCTTGCTGTACAAGTGGAACCTCGCACTTGTTAATTGTGGTGATGGCGATTCAGTGCTGAAATTGACGTGGGTAGCCTGAGAAAGCGTTTTCAACTTATTTCCATCGGGATCCCTTGGCAGAAGACGAGGAAGCAAACTAAGGTTTTAGTGGTGGGAGAAATGACACTCCACTGGGGAAAACAAAATCAGGTAGGGACTGAATACCCAATCCACATGTTGGCCCATGCGGGATTCGAACCCGGGTCACAGCGGTGGAAGGTGAGCAGAGTGCCGCTGCGCCAACCTGTTTCAATAGACCATTGTCATGTTGCGGCCGTCTTGATATTTTTCCCATTTAAATCAACGTAACCAAAGCGAGACTGGAAGGTAATTTAGTCAGGTTCCCTTTTGCACAAAAAATATCATTTCGTACTGTTATTGGATACAAAGAACATGATTGAAATTGTGGCAGCATCATAAAGGTTTATGGAGGACTACCGTGTGAAATGGGTTTTGATAGGAGCCAACACTTACACTCACCTTGGTTTGGCGTTTCCAACGCCTGACAACTTCCCCGTATCTGATTCGGCTGAAGGTCACCATGGTATACAATGGGATATGTCTCTTAGGAAACAGCCATTGCAGGAACCAATCCAGATACTTCCTGAACAGGAACCATCGCGAGTTGACCAGAGATCGCATCTACGGACATGAATTTCCATCACAACTACCTTCATTAGTGCATCTACTGCAACACCAAAACGGGGCATCCCCTCACAATCACCTCCATTCCATCATTCCGAAAATTACTTTTAGTTATTGAGGTTCACTAGTACAACGTGCACTTATCTCACTACCATCGCGCATTATATCGGAAATATAATTTTGGTTCTATAACCACCGCCAGTGAGTTCATCGAACGGCTTTTCAAAACTATTAATTACTGAAATTACTTACTGGGTTTTTATTATTATATTACTTACTAGTGTGATAATGGCGTCAGCGTTTTGACGAAGTGACTTAGTCGTAACAAATACCAAAGCAAAATTAGCGCTGGGCACAACGTACTGACCTCTTTGAAGTTGTACAGGTTCAGATCGCACATGGCTTGTGCATCGGGACTCCGGTACTCACTGAATGCTGGGAGCACCTTGGCTGTGTAGAGACGTACACAATACAGAATTTGACTTTTACAAAAACCAGATTTGCTATAGCACAAAGATGATCGTTAGGTTTCGTCTACTTGCAGCTCATTTTGAATTTTATTTCAAAAACCCTCACGGACATCATAGTTTAACCCTAAAAGGGCCGGGGCGGAATCCGTCCCGCCCCTCAACTTTTCCGCTATACCCTTGAAAAAAATGTCCCGACATCTTTTGATACCAAAAACATAAAATTCCGACATCGGGTTGCCGCGCAGCGAGTTTTTGTTCGGCGCTACGCGCAGTGAATCTCCCCATGTAGTGTACACAAAGCAGAATTAACATTGGTGCATATAAATAATTAATTAGCCATAATTCCAAAACCCTCATTGACCTATAGTCATGAAATTTCTTGGGTAAGTTCATATTAGGCCTAAGTTGTTCTATGCATGCACATAGTTCCATAATTTTTCGGCACTCGATGGCCGATATCTCGATGGCCCCCGGCTGTGAGATGGTCAAAATAACCCGGCCCCTTCAGGGTTATTCAGTTTCAAAGCTTTGTTTCAACACTACACAGTGATATTTCAAACTAAGATCTTAGCATTTTGCCTTCTGTCAGAAGCCACATAAAAAGGGATATCACTGCGGGCAGCAGGTTTACACCCATTTCTTAAGGTGTTCTGTGACACAACGATTGAGATTCCTGTTTACTTAACAGATGGGTGCCAGCAATCAACATAGCGGTGGATAAGAGAACATTTCTAACCAAGATCACCGTCAAATTTATCCAGAGCCTCGCTGAAAACGATGCAGTCTTCGAACCCCTGTGTCAAAATGAAACAACGATAAAAAGATCATCAAGGTTTACCTCAGGCAAAGCACTCTTCGCAGGAGTTTCTTGTTACACCTAGTGAATTTATCTTTGGTAGTAGTTGAATAAAGTACATTTCGATGCAGAAAAAAAAGTTAGCCCAAACTGACGTTAGTAGACCTTAGCTTGCAATATACCCTGAATGATGAAATAATTTGTTGCATTAGTGTTGTTTCAGAACTTGTAGGAATTCAGGTAGCTTACACAGTTCATCCCTTGACCGTAGAAAGGCACCATAGCATGGGCTGCATCCCCGATAATAACGGCTTTGTCCTTGTAGTGGTAAGGTGAACACTACAGAATCGAAAAGCACGGAGAAATTTCATTGACATTAACATGTTTGTAAAATAGAATTCAAAGTAAAAACAGGAATCAACAAAATGAATTCTGAGATATGTGTGGCGGTCCGCGGAACCGGCCGGAAAACAGTTTGCATAAAGCCATGTTGCGAAGTGAAGCATTTGAAACAGGCCATATGTTGGAGCGAATGGGGTGTCCTTTTCTAGGTGCAAAAAGTAGAAATATATATGTATCACAATGGAGCACTTTAAATTGCGTCATTAATCGTCTGTTTGAATCTCCGAACTGGTCACGTAACACCTCCAACATTCGCTCAAATTGAATGGCCTGATCTGCTCAAAATGCTATGCGCCACATCTACAAAATGTTTTGTTGGCTTTTGTTTTGCTGTGAGGGTTGTTATAATTATCTTTTATTGCATTTTTTTCTGACCTTGATGGACATCAATTTGCAAGCCCTGTTGGCAATGAAGGACTCCGTTAATTCCTGTTCCCCAATGAGGGTGACTGCGTCGGGAAAATGCTCCCGAAAGAACTCTAAGCAGACTTGGCGTCCCCTGATCTTGATATCTGCGAATTCCTCCAAGGGCAAGAACAGCGCGCAGTTGAAGGTGCCGTCCGGGTTAGGCGTGGCGATCATCGTGAACGGTTCACGCGGCCAGACGTGCAGGTAGTTCGCCTCCATCGCAAACTGCAAAAAGAGAAAGTTGGGCACTGACAATCTTTGCTCCTATGGACCATGTCTCATGTGACCATGTCTCATGTGATTTTTTGTGGTAACGTGATGCCAACTTTCAGCACGAAGTTCTCTTCCGTACGTCACTTAACGCTTTTTAAACCCGAATAAAGATGGTCCACAAATGGCCTTATCGTGCGCCCATGACCAAATTATGAAAGGAACGTGCCTCTCCCATTGCAAGGACAAGCTACCATAATCCCGCCTCTTACCTTGCCATCCTTTGCCGGTATGTGTAGTTCCATGTAGCCATGGGTTAGGTATTCCTGGCTGTAGTTGATGAGTCCGTACTCGAACAGTGCAGCACGCATAGCCGAGTTAACACCGTCACAGCCGACTATCAGGTCCGGGCGAAGCGTGAACTCACGGTCAGTATTTCGGCTGGTGACAGGAAAGGCAACGGAGAAGTGACATAAATTGGTGAATTTCGTAAAGTGCAAAGTGAGCGCATTGATAAGTTTGAACCAACTAGGCAAGTAAGGCTGTCTGGCGGTAATTATTCACTTACGATGAAGGTAATTGATAACTTCGAAGTGAAGAAAAACGAAGGAAATAAATAATACATGAACAAAAATCCGGTAATAACAGCGGTTTAAATGGAGAAAGTTTTTCTTGGTAGTAAAACATAAAAGCAAAAAAAAAACCACAGTTTCTTCATTTTGAAATCGGGCATTTGTTTGGTTTAATACTCACTCTAAAATGACGATCGTTCCTTTGTCGAGCTCCGCCTGGACCAGTTTGTGGCGGAAATGGGTTTTGACGTTTGGGTAACTCTCAGCAGCTTGGGATGACAATTATTGAAGAAAAAAAAAAGAATCCATGCAATTTCCTATACATAACTTTGTAATTGAGCCTTATAGTTATACACTCTCCTCATATGGGAGGTGTGACCTACGAGTAAACCCTCAATTAAAAAGGAAAGAAAACTGTTCATCAACGTCTTTCCAATATTGATCAAATCTTAACCAGGTGCAACTTCACTTAAACCTTATTTTCCCAATAATTAAGGTAATTAAGGTTAATTCGCACCACTTGTTGGGTGAATTAGTATTGCATAACATCTGTAACAAGGGTTTGAAGATTTTGGGGTCGGTATATTAAATTACTGATCAAGTATTTCACTTGATGCCTTCTTGCTTTTCCTACATGGAGTGCAATTTGAGTCTGTGGTGGATTTACATTGTATACATGTTCCCCATGTATGTTATACTAAAACCACTAGCATGAGCCGAATGGTTCACAGTAGAGGCTTACTCCATTAATGCCTTTGTTGTGATGTAACCGGGAGACCAAAAATTAACTCATTCTTTTCCGCTATAGCTGAATTCAAATACTCCGGAATAAATCAAAAATAATGCGTATTGCGTCATCCGATATAAAGAATTTAAAGAACTGGCAAACTAGACCAGAAATGACTTGAATAGGTTTTTTAAGCAGTTACAAAGGGATATATTATTGTAATGTATTGCAATAACGAATTGTTGTCAAACTAACCTGTTAATAGAGTTTCGTTCAGCCGACGCCTGTCCATCGACAAAACATTCTAAAGTTGGAGATAACATGTCATGAAAAAAGATGGCATATATATTTTTTTTTCTTGGGGGGTTAATTTCTGTTATTTGTGAACAATATCAAACTGGGCACGTGTGTGAATTTTCGTGTTCTGCCCTGAGGTGGCGATTGTATAGCGCCCACACTAGGCCTACATTTTTGGTTGATTAGTTCTTATTTTTCTCAACAAAACATTCGATGAAAAACCCGGAATATATATACACACCTGTCCCTTTTTACCGTATGCTTGGGCGGATGTCTTTCCCGACAGACTGTGGATCATTCTCCCATGCATAGGCACCGCGCCGTTTCGTATTACCTGTATGTATTTTGAGCATAATTAAATCTTTGTGACATCGGCAATATGACTAGAACTATAGAATGTGACTATATGTTGGAAGAAATTCACGGTTGAACCTGAAAAGCGAGGCCTATAGCTATTCCAAGTGAAAGATGCCTTTTTTAATGTACGGTTTAATTTATGATTGTCTCTTCGGGCGCTGCAAGATCATCCTGTAACAATTTCAGTGAACGGAGCACTAGTTCACTACGTGTTAAATGGTGACGTGTACCTATGTATGTTGCGCCCGTGTGCTTAAATTACACTACCAATTTCCAACCATCATGGTTGGACATTATCACAAACGCCCTTAATACGATGCCCGCGGCTACTGGTCAACCAGTGTTGCGACCAACCAGCGTCAGTAGGCTGGTACATCGTTTAGTATAGCGTGCGTTCAACCAGAAAAGCACTTAAGAGGCCTGTCATCACAAAATGAGCGTGAAGTCAGACTTTAGAATTTAAATATTTCTATACACCATGTAATTATCTGGATTCTGCAGATCATACCGCCTGTTAAAGGGAAGATACAACATTTGCAAACATCAAAAACCCAAATGATCAAATTATCACGAAATATCTTTCTGGATTGTTAAGGAAAGACAGTCTAAACCATCCTGTAAAGTTGTGGCACCTGGTGTGCTGATATTTTCAAGAAAAACTGTATTTTTCCAACGCTGGTCGGCCGACCAGCGTTGGAGAAAACTATTTTTTTTTCAAAAAGTGCACCTAATTTTTCATATTCAGTTCGTCCGCATTTTCTTTGCAATTGATTACACACCTGTAAAGACTACAAGCCTGCTAGACTGATTCTCTGATCTAACAATTCCCCAAAGTCTGTAAATTGCTCCGTTTTATCTTAAGTGGGGTCAGGGAGCCAGACTACAAGAATATGATTGGTTTTCTCGGTTTTTCCAGCATCTACGAACCCAAAACGTGAAACAAGTCAGTGTTGCAATATTTGCTATAATATACTTATCCTCCAAATCCATTTATTTCTGAAAATTGCAGCAAAAGCAAATGCTGTACATTCCCTTTAAACAGGTACAGGCGATCTTCGCTACCAAGTGGACACGGCCTATTTAATAATACATGAAAGCAACAGCACTACAACTCATCCAAATAATTATGTTAATCGTCACCATCATTATGCAATCTTCAGAGTTGATTAATGCTCATATATTAAACCAGGGTTTTGTGTAATGGCATGCCTGATACAAGCTATGCTTTTAAGGTTTTGCCACCTCTAGTGGCCTTTATATGTTTAAGTACTTATATTACTTTTTCATTTCTGTCATGAAGAGGAAATAAATGTGATTTGATTTAAAAGGGTCGTACCTCGTCCTCAAGACCAACCAATTTCAATGCCTCGCGACCTCTGTGCGACAGACCCAGGTTGATGCTGCGTCCGCTCGCGTACTTCCGAGTGCGAATGTCTGTAGACGAGAAACAAAATCATCCATCTTCTTACAAACATATCCACAGATCGACCACATGCGCACCCCATTGAAATGATTTATAAATGTTTAGGTAGCCTTGTTGCCATCTCCCTGAACTCTTTCATAACCAAATAAAGTACATGTAATAACAATTCTATTGGTTGATATATCGGGGTTGAAAATAAACATCACAGCCGTCCTTCTACCTTCTTTCGCTTCAAAGAGCTCTACTTCAAAACCTTTCTCGGCAAGAAAACAGGCCTGCAGAGACCCCACCTGTACACAAATCAAAATATCAATAACAATGACGACAAAAGCAACAGAATAATAAGATAAAAACAAACCGTGTTTAAACCTATTTTTGCATGCGAAACGATGCTAAATAAGTCGTCAAGAGGGTCCCAGATTGATAGCACAAGGAACATGGCCCGGCTATGATTTCTATACCGCCTGTTCCCAGACCACCAGTTCTAAGAATCAAATAAAAGTATTTTGGACGCCAATACCTCGAGTGCACATTACTTGCAGTGTTCTGTATGCGTCTCCCGTGTTCGCTTTATTTCTTACAATTTCCTTTGCCTTACGTTTACCAAAATATAATAATAATATAATAATCGGCATTTAAGAACGCTCTTATTATAGGTTTTCTCGGTCAATTTCGGCAAATGAGCAGCCAATTTAACCACTACGCTATTCTATTTCGCGCGAAATCAAATGCTACTGAAAAGGGTCATTCGATTTCGTTTTATGACCAGTCAAATGTACTGTTGCGTCGTTCGATTTAACAAAATAATCATGCAATTTAACAATTCAACAAAGCAGCATTCAAATTCGCAGGAGCTTTTTGAGGCGTGTGTTTAGTCATTCAAATTCATTTTGGGGCAGTCATTTCTGGAATTTGTGCAATCTAAAAAAACGCTTTGCTAAATTTCTGTTTCCTTAAGAATGTTGAAGGCATAAATACGGTTCACTTTTTGGCACTTGAGTCACTTTGCCGATGTACTTCGAAGACGAGCTTTCGCTACAGTTTTACACGCATATTTCTAGAAATGGCAGCTCGTGGTCGCTACGCTAGAGTGGCCCAGGTAGATCGAGAAAGGTTGATTGAGGCCTTCGAGGGAAACGAGCAAGACTACCTTCAGCTTGCGGTCAATTTGAACATCAACAAGTCCACAGCCAGATCAATTGTTGCAACATATTTGAGGACTGGAAGGCGAGAGACGCTGGCAAGAGGAGGAGCAACCCACAGCAAGATGGATGATGACATGCGAAACCATCTGCAAGGCATCCTTGACGCTAATCCCGTCTTGACACTTCAACAAATGAAGGCTCGTTTGAGTGAGCATCTGCCAGAGAAGCCCCAGGTTTCTACTGCCACCATAGCCAGGGCCTTGGATGGGATGATGATTACACTGAAACTAGTGGAGGACGTCCCTGATGCAAGAAATTCCCCTGAAGTTCTTGATCAACGCGTCCAGTATGGTGAGTGGTTCCTGCAGCATGGTGTTCTGGCACATCTATAGTCTTCATTGACGAGACAGGTTATAACGTCTGGACTCGACGCTCCCAGGGTAGAGCTCCACGAGGGATCGCTGCAAGACGAGTCGTCGACAGACAACGAGGGAGAAATTGCAATGTCACCTTCGCTGTTTCTAGTGAAGTAGGCTTGGTGCACCACCGAATCGCATTCGAAACTGTGACGCGAGAGAGATTCGAGGAGTTTCTTGCGGACACAATTCAAGAGTGTGATGCAGTTTTCCCGGACGACGAACCCATTTACCTCATATACGACAATGCGAGGCCTCACGTGCGAGCCCAACTCCCTAAAGGTGCCAACCCAATGATCCAGCTGAAGCGCCTCCCTCCCTACTCCCCATTCCTGAACAGCACGGAGATGGCACACGCTGCATTCAAGGCTGCAGTTAAACGCATCCTTGGGTTACCTGAGTGGCAACAACGTGTCGGAGACAGACAGGCTGCCCAGCAAGCAGGAATGAACATGCAGCAGTGGAGGTGCGATCTCCTTCAACAAGCAGCCATCCAGAGCGTTGATGTCATCACCCAAGTGAAGTGCATGCAGTGGTACAACCATACCCAAACATATATGCCAAGATGTCTGGCACGCCAACAGATTGATGGTTGAGGAAGAAACAACATAAACAATTAAAAAAACCAGGAAAAACATAAAGAAACACCCCATTCAAACACAATACAAAATTAGGTCTTGGTCAGTTAACCAATAAAGATCCCCCCCCAAAAAAAAAAGAATGAAGAAGAAAACAAAGAAGAAGAAAAAACCTCATTGGCCCCATGTAAAGTCTACTGGAAGCATAAATAAAGAAAACAAGGTTTGCCTGAATTAAAGTGAAGATACGAAACAGTTGCCTAGTACAGTTTATCTGTTTATTCGTATTTCTTTAGTCGTACTTATTTGAATTCTCTTTAAGCGAAATTGATTGCCTCTTTACGAAATTGAAAAAAATTAAATCAGTAAAATCTCCAGTCGAACCAGCTTTGCTAAATTGAATGATGATTGTGTGTCACGAAAAAGAATGACGATATGCTAAATTGAACACAGTGCTAAAGGAATTTGAATGCCTCAAAACGAAATTGAATGGCCGAATTCTGAATTTGAAACGCAGTAACAACTGGAGAGGCAAAATAGCTTCAATTCGAACGCACGAAAATTAAATTGGCTGCTCATTTGCCGAAATTGACCGAGAAACCTATGGTAAACTAAATCACAGCGCTTACAGTATTATTATTACCCCTGATCATTGGGCCAATGAAACATTCCAAATACCATCTCAGCTCCCTAGGGAGTATACAGCTCGATGCTGCCTGTTAGGCGCAAGCAAGCTTATTCAATCACAATAACCATCTCTGCCCTCACAGGTACCCATTTACTACTGGGTGGAGAGAAGCAATGAGTGACAAAGTGCCTTGCTCAAGGGCACACGCACCATGACCCCGCCAGGACTCGAACGCACAACCTGCAGCTTTACCCGCAACCATGAATCAGTGCCCTTAACCACGAGGCCACAGCACTCCAATATATGAAGAAGAAAGAAATTGTGCTCGTTCAGTTGTGTTGGCTCGTACGAAGCAAGTTTGTTTTCATTAATGCATTATTTAACCTATTTGCCTAGGCGTTAATACAATGGTATGAGGTTTTTGTTTGTTCATACGCAGAAATTTTTACTTTAAGATTTTAAATAGTAAAATAAGTATTTAAAAAATTATAATACATGCACAAAATAACAATAAGAAAAATCAAACCTTTGATTGTCAACTGCAGTTACAGCGAGGACTGTACAAGTGGTATGAGTATAAAATAATTCACTTTATATATTTTTGTATTAAGTTGTAAACTCTCCTGAAATTAGAAATGTAACCCCCGTCATCATTGAACATTATTAATAATTTCGGCTTCGATCATTCGGGCATGGAATCGCTCCATCTATATTAACTTGCATTCTCGAGTGCTACCACGGATGAAATGAGCTATTAGATTATTTTATAGTCAGTTCAGACGAACGTTTTCAGTTTTAAGGGCAAATTTAAAACATTACCAGCCCGCCTCCGATGACGGCAACATGACGGGCACAATTCGGTGGCGCTTCGTTGGATGACGAAGTTGTCATTCGGAAGAAAAGTTGTTCCTTGGCGAAGAGTAAAGATCCCGATCCTGGCCAATGACAATATTAAGTGGCTTGCACTACAGGAAATATGAAGGTCCCTCTGGGAACGTTGCAATATTTATGACTAGACACTGACTTGTAACGATGGATATAAATTATATATTATAATTGGGGGATGAGGACAAATGCTGGAAACTATATCCATCAGGTCGGAACAGATGTTCGTCATGAAAAACATGTTTATCATCCCCGCCCGCTTCCTTTTTAGAGGCCGCCTCCTTTTTTTTTTTGCTTTTAATTTTTAAACCGAAAAAAATTATAACTTTAAAATGTGACGTCATTTGGGCATCTTTGTCGATTGCATCTAGCCCATATAAAGCTGGCATGTCATTTTCTGAGTCCAATTGGCGGCCATATAAGAAAACGAGCTGGCGGCCATCTTGAAAAATAGCCCGGTCGGGCGGCCATTTTTGAGGGGAAAAAAGGGCCTCCTCCTTCCTTTTTTTCAAAAAGGCAGGATGCTAAACATGTTTTTTTTTTATTTGGCATCATGCGTGCCATTAATGGTAACATAAGCACCCGTTATAGCTCGTTACAAGGTTACGTTTCTGCTTCTGCTTCTGCTGAATACTATGCAAGCACCACCAGATGGTGGTTATAACCATTGACCTCCATATACACAGTCTGTGTATATGGATATCAATGATTATAACGCATAGTAGAGTCATTTTCCTGGAATCCGTGACCATGTTGCGGATACCTCTTTTTCTCGATGGATTTGACAAACATGAAAAAATAGCTTCTATACACCTCCCCAAAGTGACGGCAAACTTTTTTATAGCACGTTTTTCAAAATGGCCGCCGACGCCATATTGAAAAACATAAAAAGTGATATCTCTGGAACCAGATGAGCCATATTGATAAATGAGGTGTCGATTCCCACTATTTCTGTCATGACAAATCTGCTTAAATTGTTTTCATTACGTTTTTGGAACCATCTTGAAAAACACAAAAGTATTATATCTCTGGTACCAGAGGAGCAAAACAGACATTTAAGATGTTATTTTCAAATAATTCTGGCATGACAATCCATTAGAATGGGTCTTTTGACTTTTCAGGGACTGCAATGACCTGCTATTTGACCTGCTATTTTTCAAAATGGCCGCCGACGCCTTATTGTAATACATAAAAGTGATATCTCTAGAACCAGATGAACCATACTGATAAATGAGGTGTCGATTCCCACTATTTCTGGCATGAAAAATCTGCTAAAATGGTATTCATTACGTTTCAGGACCATTGTGACCTCAACATTCAAAATGGCGGCTGGTAGCCATCTTGAAAAACACCGAAGTGTTATATATCTGGCACCAGAGGAGCAAAACAGACATTTAAGATGTTATTTACAAATAATTCTGGCATTAGAATGTGTCTTTTGACTTTTCAGGGACTATTATGACCTGCTATTTGACCTGCTATTTTTCAAAAATAGCTGTCGACGCCATATTGAAAAACATAAAAAGTGATATCTTGGGAACCAGATGAGCCATATTGATAAATGAGGTGTCGATTCCCACTATTTCTGGCATGACAAATCTGCTAAAATGGTATTCATTACGTTTCGGGACCATTGTGACCTCAAAATTCAAAATGGCGGCTGGTAGCCATCTTGAAAAGCACCAAAGTATTATATCTCTGGAACCAGAGGAGCAAAACAGACATTTAAGATGTTATTTTCAATTAATTCTGGCATAACAATCCATTAGAATGGTTCTTTTGACTTTTCAGGGACTACCATGATCTTCTATTTGAAGATGAATGTTGTATGTCATCTTTCAAAACGTCAATCTGCAATATTATCTCATGCGCCAGAGGCTCTTGGTATGTAACTGAGGAGCCATCCCCTTTAAATCCGCCACACCTAACTTATTTGAGTGGTTATATTGAGTTTTATCTTGATACCTATTTCTTTCTGTTATAACCTATAACAAGTTGTTTTAAATTCATTTGTTTTACTGGCTTAAATAAATTTGTTCTCTATTGCATGGTTTGTTATTATGCACATTTTTAGCCTGACATATAATTTCCATTTTATTATTTTGTTTGTGTATTTGGGTGCGATTATAATTAATCTGTTGCTTATCAGTCATCTGGTTAACAATTTGCTACTGTTCACTTTCTTGGTGTTTTTTTTTTTAGTTTAATCAGCCGATTCATCTGTTTATTTATATTTTTGGTTTGTTTACATTTTACTTCAATATTAAAGCTTAGCTTTGATTTTTGACTAGTTCTTTGATTCTACATTTATGGCATTTTCTAGCCCTCGCATCCACATTCATCCCATGTTCTCCATTTGTGTTTGTTCGATTGTTAGTCTGTTTCTGTAACTGTTGAGTTGAGTTGTCATTTCGGTTTTATTTTGCCAAGGCATCTCCATATAAACCCCGACTTCAGAAGATGCCTGTATAATTGCCTATGTTTTTATTACATTATATAGCTAAATGGTTGATCTCATTAATAATATTATTTATTAAATGGCATGTTTTGTTCTATTATAAAAGTTGTGGCATTATGGAAATAACTGTTGATTGAATTGAAATTACATATCATTTTGAAGTCTTGGTAATGTAGGCCTATGTGATTCATTTCATGAGCATATCATGTCAAACCTAGATACGAATTATGAAAAAAATAGTCACAGATTCGGTGAAAACGAATTGCATATTGAGTTGTGAAACAATGAAAGGCTTTGAAGAAGCCTTGACAAAACAAAACCGAAATGTCAACTCAACAGTTACTGTAAATATGAGGGTTAGAGACAATAGAAAATGCCGTAAATGAATAATCATGCAACTAGTCAAAAATAAAAGCTAAGCATTAATAATTGAAGTAAAAACGTAATCGAAACAAGAATATAAATAAAAAGATAATTTAATTAAATAATTTAAAAAATCAAGCACAAGAAAGTGAACAGTAACAAACTGTGAACCAGATGAATGATAAGCAACAGATTATAATCACCCGTGAAATAAACAAACATAATAATCAAATGGCAACTATATTTAAGGCAAAAAATGTGTAAATGTTAAACAAACAATGTATGGAATGGAGAACAAATTTATTAAAGCCAGTAAAATAATGAATTTAAAACAAATTAACATTAATTATAACAGAAAGAAATAGAAGACAAAACTCAAAATAACCACTCAAATAAGTTAGGTGTGGTGGATTTAAAGGGGATGGCTCCTCAGTTACATACCAAGAGCCTCTGGCGCAAGAGATAATATTGCAGATTGACGTTTTGAAAGGTCATGGTAGTTCCTGAACGTCAAAAGAACCATTCTAATGGATTGTAATGCCAGGGTTAATTGAAAATAACATCTTAAATGTCTGTTTTGCTCCTCTGGTTCCAGAGATATAATACTTTGGTGTTTTTCAAGATGGCTACCAGCCGCCATTTCGAATTTTGAGGTCACAATGGTCCCGAAACGAAATGAATACCAAATTGGCAGATTTGTAATGCCAGAAATAGTGGAAATCGACACCTCATTTATCAATATGGCTCATCTGGTTCCCGAGATATCCCTTTTTATGTATTTTAAATATGGTGTCGGCGGCCATTTTGCAAAAACGAGCTATAAAAAAGTTGCCGTCACTTTTGGGAGGCGTACTTTTATGAGCTATTTTTTCTTCAAATTGTTTTTTTTGGGGGTCAAATACATTGAGAAAAAAAGGTATCCGCAACATGGTCACGGATTCCAGGAAAATGACTCTACTAGCATATAATATGCGTTATAGGTCCTGACCTATAACGCATATATGACACTGACCTATATGGCTTTTTTGATCAGCTCATCCATATTTATTTGATCCAGTTTCTCTTTAAATAATTTGACGTCAGGTTGAGCTCTAACGTCTGGTGGGAGGATGTTCCATTCGCGAGTTGTCCGGGGGTAGAATGAATACTGGTAACAGTTCTTGTTGAATGGTGGGGTTTCTAAGATGTGAGGCCCGGTTTGCAGTCTGGTGGATTTTATGATGTTCTGGCGACAGTTGACGTTTGATGGGGTGATATTATGGACTTCCTTAAAGATGGAAATTAAGCGAAGTTTGGTGCGCCGTCATTCGAGAGGTTCCCATCGGAGGTGTGCCAGCATGTTTGTGACACTTGAGTTCCTGTTGTAGTCATTTTGAACAAAGCGAGCAGCTCGGCGTTGGATTTTCTCAAGAGATTCCTTGGTGTTGTTGTGATGAGGATCCCATATTGATGCACAGTACTCAAGCTTCGGTCTGATGAGAGTTTTGTAGGCTATTTCCTTGCTGCACGAGTGGATGTTTCTCTTCAGGAGACCCAGGACTTTATTTGCTTTGCTTGTGATTTGATTTATGTGGCGTGCCCAGTTGAGGTCTTTGCTGATCTCCACTCCAAGGTACGGGTGGTGGTTCACTGTTTCAAGAGCACTTCCGTTCATGTTGTACGCAAGGACGATGGGCTTGACCTTGTGGCTGATGTGCATCGCATGACATTTTGTTGAGTTGAAGGACATTTGCCATTGTGCCTCCCAGTGGCATAGAGAATCGATGTCCTTTTGAAGGAGCTGGTTATCCTGGTTGCTTTGGATTTCCCAGTAAATTATGCAGTCATCTGAATTTTGATGAGACAGCTTTTGGTAGGTCGTTGATGTATAATAGTGTAGCGGGATCCTACTGGGCTCTTGTCCGCCAAATCCGGCCAAACGCTAGAAAAGGGGACACACAGATGGGATTTCTAACTCTGAAGGAAGATCTCATTTATTTCGCCAAGCAGACTCTGCGGGCAACTTGCCGCACCGCTACCAGAACTGCAACTGATCAATTCCCAGATAGACATACACACAATCTGAACAAATGTATACAAATGTAGCAACTTTTCCCAACCCTGGAATCAAGCCAAGTTCTTCCCACACAATTGAACAAAAGAACCCCACTTAAGCAACCTATTTTGTAGAGCCTATTTCCGGAGCGCGCGCTAGCCAGACCCAAAACCAGGTCAGGTGCGCGCCGCCGGAGCCCTTCCGCCGGAGCACTAATGCTAGAAAGCAATGACAACAAAAGTGTGCGTAGACTGTCCGTTACACTACCCTCTCCTTAAATTGGGCCTATTCTCTTGAATAGGGGCACATATACAA